AATGAACGCAAATTTGCCGCTGTCTGCTTTTTATTGAAACTGTGTTCAATACTTTAACACTAAGAAATAAAGGATAGTTGGGTTTTTTTTTACATCTCATGAGAAAAAAGTAACTTGGAATGAAACCGATAATAGAGAGAGAGAGAGAGAGAGAGAGAGATCACTGCTGAAATATATTATTACTGAAAAGTCTATTATATCCATAGTCATTATTAATCTATGTGTGGTTGCATTAATGTCCACTGTGGTCATCCGTCTCTTCAACAAAGTCTGAAGATGAGCACATCTCAACACCCACGGCTTTGGGGGAATTTGCTATTCTTCAGATAACAAGGACTTATTGCCATGGAAATGGGCAGAATGAGAAACAGTTAAAGTAAATCAGCCTTTAGGAGAAATATAAATGACTCTGGTTTTTGCGTTGCTTAACAAGATTTACCTGTTCCTGTTGTCACAGGAAACCAAAAAGAACTATAATTCAACAAAGACATTTCTTACTGAAAGGCTATACAATATTCTCACTCACTYAAATCTAGTTATCAATGACCTAACAACAGAAGATGTTTTTGGGTGAGTGCTTTTCTGCCTCTAATGGTCTCAATGGTCTGCTTGATGACTTTCAGCAGCTGTAAGTGCAGTGGGGAGTTGAGTTTGGACTCATTACAGCCGTGTGCTCATCACTTATCGTACAGAGAAAAATATCATTAAAAGAGCATTTTCCTGCTCAAAGCTACTGATCACGTGAAACGTTTGAAACTGCTCAAGTTTTAGCACTAATGTTAATAAACTCATCTGGGGTTCAGGCATCTGAATGGCAATTAGTACAGGTGTTGGTCACACCTCATTTTTCTTCATCACACATCCTTGTCTTCTCCTTGATGCCAATCAGTGGGGTTTGTTGGTGGTGACTGTTTAGTTTGAATGTGTGATCAGTGTGCCGTTTCTGGGCTCTTCATCCCTGAGTGTTTTATCGAAATTGGAAGAGAGAACTCAGGCCTGAGTCGTGTGTGTGTGTGTGTGTGTGTGTGTGTGTGTGTGTGTGTGTGTGTGTGTGTGTGTGTGTATAGGTGCACAGCAACAACTCTAAGCTGCTTTGACCATGAGCAACATTCAACCAGCTGATGTGGTCCTACTTTTCCCAACAGATCTGTGCACATTACGAGCTTGAATGTGTTTTATTTAGGAGATCCCGTATTTATGTGTGTATAATACGAGAAATTTAACCCCCAAAATAATACATAAAGTGTGTGTGTGGGTCGTATTATGCACGGGAGTAAATTTTACCCTTATGGCCCAGGTCCACCCCGATTTCTAAAACCCTGAGAGCTGTGGTTCCAATTGGCGGGACTGCTCGGCTCACATTGACGTCAGCTACTGCTGCTCATTGATTGGTTCACCGACTGGGTGGGGGTGGGGTGAGGGGTCCGGTACAGCTGACCGGGTGGGGGTGGGGTGAGGAGTCTGGTACACGCTTCGGGACTTTTCTTTCCAAGTTTGGTTTATTTAATTTTTGTTGTGTCGTAAATAAAATAAAGTAAAATTTAAGATTTACAAGTGTTTAATATAATGATCCCAGCCACATTGAGGTGGCTCTCCGCTCAATGAAAACACAACCAGGGCTGGGGTAGAATAGGGCTGGGCTGACTGGAGCCAAAGCGGGCTGATAGGTGCAGAGACCAAAGCATAAAACCAACAAMAGTATTTGTTTCTGTCACACAGGAATTGGAGGTGGAAAACCTTTTTTTCTTGTTAACTGAACTAGAACTAGAAGACTAGACTAGACACAGGAGTCCCTGAGGGGCACGGTCGAATGCCTTCTCCAAGTCCACAAAACACATGTAGACAGGTTGGGCGAACTCCCATGCACCCTCCAGGACATTGCTGAGGGTGTAGAGCTGGTCCGCTGTTCCATGACCAGGACGAAATTCCACGCTGCTCTTCCTGAATCCGAGATTTGACTATCYGACGGACCCTCCTCTCCAGGACCCCTGAATAGACCTTACCAAGGAGGCTCAGAAGTGTGATCCTCCTATAGTTGGAACACACTCTGCAGTCCCCACTTTTGCCCCCGATGTCCACTTGATATTGTAGAGTCGCGTCAACCAATGCAACCAACCCCACAACATCCAGAGCCTTAAGGAACTCCGGGCGAATCTCATCCACCCCCCGRCGCCCTGCCACCGAGGAGCTTTTTAACCATCTCAGTGACCTCGGGACCAGAGATTGGAGAGTCTGACCCAGGGTCCTCAAGCTCTGCTTCCTCATGGGAAGACTTGTCRGTGAGATTGAGGAGGTCTTCAAAGTATTCTGCYCATCGACCCACAACGTCCCGAGTTGAGGTCAGCAGCCCACCATCCCCACCATAAACAGTGTTGGTGGCGAACTGCGTTCCGCCCCTGAGACGCCGGATGGTGGACCAGAATCGCCCCGAAGCCGTGCAGAAGTCTTTTTTTCCATGGCCTCTCTGAACTCCTCCCACACCTGAGTTTTTGCCTCAGCGACCACCCGAGCCGCAATCCGCTTGGACTGCTGTTACCTATCAGCTGCTTCCGGAGTCCCACAGGCCAAAAAGACCTGATAGGACTCMTTCTTCAGCCTGACAGCATCCCTCATCACCGGTGTCCACCAGTGGGTTTAAGGGTTGTCGCCACGACAGGCACCGACAACCTATGGCCACAGCTCAGGTAAGCTGCTTCGACAATGGAGGTACAGAACATGGCCCACTCGAAATCAATGTCCCCCACTCCCCCGGAACGTGTTCGAAGTTCTCCTGGATGTGTGAGTTGAAGCTCCGTCTGACGGGAGACTGACAGACGTTCCCAGCAGACCCTCACTATACGTTTGGGTCTGCCAGGTCTGATCGACATCGTCCCCCACCAACGGAGCCAACCCACCACCAGTTTAAATCTAGTTTAACTTTTTCATAATGATTACTGTGTATTATAATAATTATACAGGTAAACTAACCGACCAAAATCAACAGAACTGATGCAAAAAAAGCATTATATTTTTCATATTTTATCAATAATGCATTAATCAAATTAATGTCTGGTTTTAAATACAAACAAGTTTATTTCGCCAGAACCTTGTTTAAAATATTGTAATTCTGTATTAAATTTAAAATTTCAGGTATTTATGATCAACTTTAAACCTGACACTAAGACAGAAAGAACAGTAGCACAAAAAATAAATAAATGAATAAAAAAACAAGGCCTCGCCTTTACTTTAGTCCTGATCATAACCAACAAATATATGTTTTGCTGTTAATATTGTTTAATTCTCAAAAGTAAAGCAACATCTGTGAATGACAGCGAAATGTGCAGCTGAGGGGGGCCGCACTCCGAGGCGCAGGGATCTGGGTGGGCTTCCCCAAAGGCTGAGCACGCTGTGCACCATTCAAACAGTTGCTCGTCACGCTTTTGATCTGCTGTTTACAACATTTCACAAAATATAAAGTACACTTCCATGTGTCTTTTTGGAAAAATTACAACAACGTAAGCACTGCCAAGTATAAACACTGCCACAGCTGGTGAGTGCACACGAGTACCCAAAGCGCGACTCTCAACCGCACCTTCAGGCTGCGGGCTTCAGTGGGCTTCAGGCGCTCTGCGGCCGCTGCGCTCTGTGGCTGATGATCAAACTGTGGCACAATAACGCTCCATGTGTGCCAGATCACACGCAGCTGTTGATCGATGTTGCCGCAGCGGTTCAGGTTTCTGTTTTAAAGATCACCAGCTTTGTCTCCTGCGCCCACCTCGTCCTCTCAGAGCGTGAGAATATTTCTGTGGTTCACCTGGTTCTCTGCTAATTCTTTTTTATAGTTTAAAACTCAGTCTGACAGATATCTTGTTTTTTTATGAGCCCCGCTCTCGGACTTCTTCCCCGACATGCTGACAGCTGTCAGTCAATCATCGAAGGACACGCCCACACATTCTGACAGAAGTTACGTGTCTGCTTCATAAATATTTCTAACAAATGTCCACGTATGAGCAACGTTAATGTAACATGTGTGAACATATTTATAACAGACCTGACGCAGACCTGAAACGTGTGTAAAACTGATCACTAATCATTCCACATACGGTGGAAATTTTGAGCATGTTCAAAATTCTGCGCTGGGATCTCCGTAYGACAACGTATGCCCTCTAATATTAACATGTTGGTAAGTTATCCTAAAATTGCTGTGGGTCACTGTGTGACTGTTGCCGACGTCTCATTTTTCTCTATCACGCTGCACAGCGGTTCTGCAGAAGTTCCACTAATGTTTCACACACGTGCAGCAGAAGTCCAAACACGTTAAAATAAGCTTCTACACATTATGTTTAAGGTAGGGATAATTTACTCATAGGTTTTATATCTGTTCAAGTCTTTAGGAACACAGTATGATCACGTCCAAATGAAGGTGTTAATTAAATAAAAGCTCTGGGAGTGGATTGTTTTCAGCGACATGCGGAGCCTGAAGCTCGCACTGCTCCTCCTCTGCAGCCACAAACATGTCCACAAGTGTGTGTGTGTGTGTGTCCAAATAATCTGTTTCCCCACCACAGAGGGTAAACAACAAATGCTGAAACATCCGGAAGCACGGTRTGAAAATAGGGTTAGAATTATACACGAGGAACAAATTTATGCTTTTTAAGTTTAAAACATGAGTGTCACATTGAAAAGTAATAATGAGAACCCAAATTAGGTACAGGAAACTGGTCCAGTACTCAGCCTTGAATGTTTATTCACAAACATATAAAGATTACTACAGAGCTGTGGTACATCYTGTCTGAGGGGACTGGTTCTTAAAGATAAYGATTTTGTGTTGAATTTTCTATGGGTGGAATAAAACTGAATCACTTGAGTTGGGAATTTTAAAGATTTTCAGTTGTTAATACAAAGATGAAGCCATACTTATAAATGAAACCCAGCTAATACAGTATTTTTCTGCTCATTACTGCTGATGATTAATAGGTTTACATTTTAACTTATCCAATAAAGTAATGAAGGCACAATACCTTCTTCTGAACGTAGTCCATGATGTTTTTAAAGTCCAGGTCATCGTAGTAATTGACAATGCCTTTTCTGATGTTTTTGTTCAGTAAATCTGTTGCCTGTCAGAAAAAAAGAAAAAATATTAAAAATTAGCTGTTAATGTTTTAATGGGGTGCAAGAGGTCACATCATCACATTTGGTCCGTTTTTATAACACGGCTGATCTGCAATCAGGCAGCTGTGGAYGGGGAATGCTGATTAGTGAAGGTGACTGATCCACCGAACGGAAATATWAAAAAACTGACACTTTGACCGCTCACATCTGTCAGTCACAATCTGGTGCAGGCAAGAGAGTAAAGCTGGGTCACTTGACTCTAAGGTCTCAGTTTATACAAAGACAGAGAGTGAAAGTTTTTAATATGAGCRTTTAATCAAAATGTTTCTAAGAAAAAAAAAGTTTCTAAGAGATGGGTTTTATGTACGATATGAATACGTTTTATGAAATGAAAAGAAAGAAAAGGAAATTAGAAGTGTAAAAGATAAAGAGTGGAGGATGCTGGAGAGACACGTCCGGCACAAACCAAGCACCGATATGATACAAATGATTATTACTTTGCTGTTGTATAAATTTTGCTTGTTATCCTGTTTCCTGCTGCATGAGATGCAGGTCCACTCTGAAACATTTCCTGATGATTAACACAGATTCAGACTTCACAAACAACTCACCTGGTTACGAAACAGGAGAGCCACGACTCCTCCCATCAGCTCCAGGATCAGACACACTGCCAGACTATACAAAAACTGAGACAAAATGCACAGAAAGAGCAATCAGACACTTTTTGATAAATAACGGGATCAATTTAAAACTTTTTTCCAAAATAACTATAAGTAAACAATGTAAAACGAATATAAAACAATATTTTACAAACTTCTAGATATCCTCTTGAGGTAAGTTATGGATATTCAGTTTTTTTGTTATTCTGAAAGGTATTACTTTAGCCTCCAGCAGTACTGAGAGGAACCTCAGAGCTAATTTTGACCAGACATTTATCAGCAGTGCAATATTAATACTGCTGAACAGCAATATAATATTTATAGTATTATGCATTCATGTTCTGCATTTTAATAATACATTTAGTCAATCCAGTGACAAACATGAGTTTTCTTCCTGTTTGTCACCCCAACCCACTCCCACTCTCTCTTCCTCAAATGAAATTAGTCCTTTTGTTTGCAGTGCGCCCCGAGGCACCTTTTGTTATGAACTGCCATTATTTACTGTAAATAAAAGTGAACYGAAATGTGGAAAAATACCAGCAGTTTCTTCATGAAAATGTCAGGACWACAAATCGAGAACTGAATCTCAGGAGAATATAAGTCATGAAGCGAGAGAGTGACCCCCGAGCACACAAGTTGTTTTACCACAGAATGAAGTTAATGTTTGTTTTTTTAAAGGATAATAAAAGTCTTGAGACAAATCCAACAAAAAGGCTAAAACAGTGAGTCCAGTTCATGACATATGTTGTTACTGATGTGTTACTCAGATGTTTTTCTCAGTATATGAATCAAAATGCATTCACTTTAAAAAAAAAGACTAAAAAGAAAATGACATTTTTAACAAATACATTTAAAAGAATATCGATTGCTTTGAAAGCTTGGAACAATTATAAGTCTAAATGAGTTGTCTTTACAGAAC